AGGAAGCAGTTTACCAGCAGGCTTGCCAGTGATCCTACCACACAGAAGAGAGTGTGCTGTAGGAAATGGGTTTTGTACTCCCACCTGGGCATCAGCAGAACCAAGTTACCTGACATTACCGATGGCTGGCTGTGTGATCTCCGAGTGGACTCTAGTTTCAGCAGTTTATTTTAAGGACAAGATAAAATGGATAGAGTAGTTAGCATTTGGCAAACTTTAATCTGTATTATTAACATTTAATCTATGTGTAGCTACTGATGACACTATTAATATTATCCACAAAAGCTGTTTTCAGATTTCCTGAAAACACCCCCCCCAGGTGCAGTAAACAAAAAGCAATACCCTGACAGTTATATTCTATTTTATGATAACTTGTATCAAAGTTGTGTTTTATTTTTAAAAATTCGCTATTTTAGATTCTGATAAAATATTTACAGGTGAGCTGATTTCTCCTTTTTGGACTCCTTCAAAATAGTCTGAAAAAAGGATAGATCAGGAAGGGAGTGAGGAGATATACAGAGAAAAGAAGATGGGCTTGCACCGTTGGGAGTTGTCGGATTATTCTCTGTACTTTCATCTGTGTTTGAAGTTTTCCATGATATAAAGTAAGAACATACCTTAAAAATAGTTACTGAATGTGGATGCCTGTTAGATTCATTCTTATTCAAGGAGCCAGCACTCCGTATCTCACTTTCCTCGGTTTCTTTAGGAGTGACTAATTCCAGATCTGAGCTGAAAGACTCCCACTATTCTGTTTTATGCTATCAGGACAGCTCAGGGTGGAAACAAAATAAATCCAATTTCTGAATCTTCTTTGTCTTTCTCCTCTTGGCAGTTCTCTCTGAAACTACTGTAGGCATTTTAAGTAACCCTGATTACCCAGCAAGAACAATGTACCTTTCAGGCAAACAGAGGATAAAATAACTCTGTCTACCCTTCCTTGCTTGCATGACAAAAGTGTTAGCTATTAAATACCAGTGCTTAGTGAGCCAGTGACGGGTGAGCCCGTAATTGTGTTTTTGGCATTTTAGAATCTGAGCTCTGCCCTGTATGAACTTGTAATCTTCATTGTGTAGCCTTGTTAAATTTGGTTGCTGACTTATACATTGGCATATGAGGCTGAGGAGCTCCAAAGCCAGAATCTGGCCTCTGTACTTTTCAAGTTAAAGTCAGGAGTCAGAGGATAACTTTGAATTTTTCTCCCCCCCCCCCTTTTCTCTGTCTGTCTGTCTCTCTCTTTTTTTTTTTTTTTTTTTTCCCCAGTATAAAGGTGTCACTTACCTTTAGTATAGAAGCTGACTGTGGCTATCCATGGTTCAGTGGCCTTTGGATTTGACGCTCTCCATGTTTGGCTTTTTTATTGAGACATGAGCCAGCAGAGAGAAGAGGATCACTTGGTCCTCTTGCCCATCTATTGTGCCTTCCAAGTCAGTTTCCTTTCTTTAGCCTCACTAAACAGAAGAATTTAAACTTTTATTTGAGGAATTTTATTTTCCCTCTGTTAGCTTTCTTGAAGGCATAAAACACATAGCTACTTATAAGCCTAACTGCTTTGGAACAAGGTCTCAGTGAGTTCTGTGGGACGTTCTTCCTATAAAAATAAGACATCTCTAAATTGGCCAGAGCAAACTGCAGTGATGTCTGTCATAAACTCCTCCACTTCTCTCTCTCGCTGGTCCAGGGGTGAGGTTTGGCCCCTGCCAAAGGGGCAGACAGGTGGATGAAAGCCACCACATTTGGAAGCCACTGCAGGGCTGCTATCTAAGAGGCACAAATGCAGGGCTTTAGGGGTCTGTCAGTCTGAAGATGAAAGGACGGATTCCACCATGGAGATGGGAGGCCCAGGCTGAGAGCAGATCTGGTGTATTATTATACGCTGTATTGAATCTTCTCGGGATCCCACAGTGAAATTTTTATATCTATTGTGAAACCTACTACCATGCCTGTGCTGATATTTCCCTCCAGGCTCATACAGTTCTAAAGTGCCTAAAATTAGACTGAAAAGTTCAATTTCAGGCGCCTAACCAGCCCTTGTAGCCTCAGGCGTCTTGTGACCCGACTGAGTCATGCACCCTGGGCGGCTCAGGTGTGTCTCCTGAGCACTGTGTTCCAAGTCTGCTCTGTGCAGAGGGGATTGTGACCAACAAACTGATTACAAAGCACTTTCTTCCCCTTGAGCGACTCCTGAGAGCCGCTGAGTAACGAGCAGTCAAACCTCCTACCTGGGCTGGTAGTCACAAGCCCTCTTGAGCAATCGTGGAGCAGCTCTTCAGACCGTTGTGGGTCTCTGTTAGCACTTGTTTCTGTTGCCCAAGAAGCTCCTTTCTGAGACCTCAGCAGGTATAACGGCTTCGGGAGAAGTGAGAAACCCAATAACCTTGTTCAGAAATGTAAGCAAGAATGCTTTGTGCTTAGGCCCACACAAGCCTGGACTGCTGGGCTGGGACTCAGTGTCCATCCGGCCAGCCTCACAGGCTTGGTCTTGTGTGGCTTTCCCATCTCGAGGGCCACAGACTAGCATGTCGCATTTCAGCCAGCTGCTGCTCCCTAGTATTTGGCATCAATCCCACAGCAGTTAGGTGACCAGGCACTCCCAGGGCCCCTGAGTCAGAAGTGACTTTTGGAAGAACAGTTGAGAGTCCATGTGCTTGGCAGTGACCTCCCTCACATGGCATGACCACATCCCTTCACTCACCACCCATACCCATGTTCCTGTGCCTGACGTCATAAGATCCAAAGCCTTACATTCTGGGTGTGGGGAGCACAGGGCAGGAGGAGAAGTGGTGTCCACGGCCTGCAGTCCACTGTGTGGGACTGCAAACAGTGGACTGTGTGGGCAGGAGACTTGGCATGCAGCAGGGGTGGTATCTGTTGAGGGAACTGGGCCAGATGGGGTTTGGAGGCAGTGAGGGCTGCTTTGCTAAGGTCTCATGATCCTAATTCCAGAACACCACTGCCAAGGCCAGGAGAGCACAGAGAATGTCTGTGCCGAGAAAGCTCGGCTGCATTCGTTTACCACACGTATTGGGCATTCCTGGAAAACGGGGCTTCATTTTCACTTCTGGGTGCTTGCCAGTGACCACTGTCTGTAAGACCTGCACAGCCCAGCTGCAGCGAGTCATGGGGCCTGGTGTGGGAACTGGTCATGCCACTTCTGTCATCACCTCCCTCCTCAACCGCAATGTGATCTGGCTGGACGGAGACCAGCTTCCCCCAGGCCCAGCAGGTCAACAGGCCTTTCATTCTCAGACTGGCATGGGGAAGCAGAACTCAATCCTCTGTGAGTGTGAGGCCCACTGAGCAGGCAGCACCGTAAAGATACCGCAGGGAAGGGGACGCTGTTTCTCCCAATCCGCAGCCCCAGGAAGCCCCCAGAAGTCCCTGCCAGCTCAGCAAGCATCCCCCTTTCCTTGGCAGACTGTGTGGCTAGTTCCTGTGGAGTCTAAGCACAGCCATCCCCTACCATCTTGGGCTGTCAAGTGGTATGGTTTGCAGGACTCTTTCTCTGCCTGTGTGGTGGCTGACTTCCCTCTGGAGCAGGTTGGAAAAGTACCAAGTGCTAGGAGCCGGGGCCACGCAGGGCACTGTTTGGAGAACATAGCCTTTTACCTGCACATGGTTTTGTCAGTGCACAGCTGTGGTCTTGCCTACATGGAGGGCTTCTTACCAAACACATTTGCTGGAAATTCTCTTCCTTCTGTGGGTTTGCTCTGAGTAGTGGAAGAGGGGTGGGAAATACTTTTGTCCTGGACTCTCTGCACTCTCCTAGGCCTCACATGGATACAGAGGACATTCCCAAAACCTGTTTGGACTCCTCTGTTTCCTTTTAATGATCTCTGACATCCCAGGAGTTGTCTTCCCACTGCTCCTTGGCCGTCTACAGTAGCTATCAAGCCTCACTACTGACTTACTGTTGTCAGAAATGCTGCTTCCCGCCCCTGTCTGGCCCCTGCCTGCCATTCCATTTGTCCCTGCCTGGTTCAGACTCCAGCGTCTCCCTGCACATTTCAGCTCCCTCTAGCTGATCCCTTCCTGTTCCACTGGAACCTGTTACTTCCTTACTTACACAGCTTCTTTTTTGCTTAATATCAAAGTATTAAAATTCCTTGGTGTGGTCTTCAGATCCTTCCCAGCATGAAGGTCTCACTTCTTCCCCAGCCCTGAGTGCCGCTGCAGCCCTGCCTGCTGTGACACCTCTGTACCCATAGATGTGCCACAGTGACCTTTTCTCCCCTCTTTTTTACATGGAAGACTGACTCATTCCTTCACCTAGCTCAATTTCTGTTTCTGCAGTAAAGCTGCCCCTCTCTCTTCCTGTGCTTCTCTCACAGTGTTTGATTTATATTTTCATCGTGCCATTTGAATTATGCAGCAGTTGGTCCCCTGCTATGTGTGTGTGTGTGTGTGTCTGTGTGTCTGTGTGTGTCTGTGTGTATCTGTGTGTGTGAAGCTGGTATTTATTGGGCACATCATGTTAGGCACATGGTGAGCTAAATCTACCAGGTCCCCTGCAGTTTACAGTCAGTGTACGTGTCTCCAGGGTATTGTGAGTTCTGTGTATATGGTGATGGCATGCTGTCTTCACGTCCAGCCCAGCCCTGGCACGCAGCTATGACATGCTTCTTGAGTGTGTGCTGATGGGCAGGAATGGGTGCTAGAGAGAAGTGGAGGAAAGGCTCGATGATTTCCTACAGGAGCAAGGTACCCAGAGAGGCTAACGAGGAGGCATTCTGCCTCCGTTTCTGAAGCGCTGTCTGCATGTTTCTGTGTGGTGAGCCCATTTGTGACCACCCATGATCTAGGACTGCTAAGGCCAATTCTGAGGTTCGATCTGGATCTCCTTTTGTGGAGGTCCCAGAGAAGTCTACTTTTTCTAAAGAGTGTGTGCAAAGCCCAGGTGGTTGCTCTGTGGTCTGGTCACTTGTCCTGTGAGCCAGTTCTCCCAGTGGGTGATCTGGGGACTGGCTACCCTGACCAGTGCTGTTGTCGGTTTCTTGCAGGGATCTGAAACTGGACAACGTGCTGTTGGACCACGAAGGTCACTGTAAACTAGCTGACTTTGGAATGTGCAAGGAGGGGATTTGTAATGGAGTCACCACGGCCACATTCTGTGGCACCCCTGACTACATTGCTCCAGAGGTGAGTGCACCTGCTTGGTGAATCTTTTGAAACCTGCGCTGTGCAGTAGCCCTGATCAGAAATGCCACCATCTGTTCTTGTGTGCCATGGCTTTTGGGCAGTATTGAAAATCAATGCTGTGTGACTCATATGGCTCATTGCACAAATGGGATTGAAAATGTCCAAGGTTCCTGTAAATAAGAATTTGAGGGGTTTTTTTGTTTTGCCTTTTTCATTTTTATCAGTACCAGGGATCGAACTCATGACTGCCTACTTGCATGGCAGGCACTTATGCCATTGAGCTAAATCCCCAGCCCCCAAGAATTTGAGTTTAAAAAAAAATGTAGTAACCTTGTAGTTACTTTAGATTTAGGCCCTAAACCTAAAGTATTCTGACTATATTCTGTGTATGGCTATTTTCCTCTTTGTGCTCATTTAGCACCTCCATTAACAGATCTAAAGAAAAGTTCTTGAATCTTTCCTATATAGTGAGTAAAGCCAGCATGGAGGTGTTTCCAAAGCCCACTCTGTTCTGGATCAACCTGGGCCTAAGCAGCCACCAGTGTTTGATTGCCCAAAGGAGAGGGTATCCTGAGTGGAGCACAGTGAAGACAGACTGCTCTGTGGAGATGGCATGGGGCATACACACCAGCATGGGAGGCTTTCATATTTTTTATTTTCTGTGCTTTGGTATTTTCCAACCCATTACTGTCCTTATTCATGAAGAAGACCTTGATCACTCAGATGCCTGAGGCACTTCTCACACCATCCCCCTTTGCATAGATCCTCCAGGAAATGCTGTACGGACCTGCGGTGGATTGGTGGGCCATGGGTGTCCTTCTCTATGAGATGCTGTGTGGGCACGCGCCGTTTGAGGCTGAGAATGAAGATGACCTCTTTGAGGCCATACTGAATGATGAAGTCGTCTACCCCACCTGGCTCCATGAAGATGCCACAGGGATCCTCAAATCTGTAAGTCTGATTTCCTCAGCCAGCTTTGAAACTAGTGTAAGCCAGTTGTCCTACGTGCTTCTTAGGTCTTTTTTTTTTTTTTAAATATATTCTGCCAGGAAGCCACAAGCCCTAACTAAAATTTGTGTTTTAATCTAAAGAATCAAAGAGCTATATTCCCCCAGGCTGTTTTCTTCCCTTACGCAATAGTGATTTCTAGGCCAAATGCAATTTCGACTGATAGTCTTGTTTGTCAAAAGTCAAGTATTTCTAGCACTAGAGCTTAAACATAGGTGAAGCCATGCTCCTGCTACCTATAGTCAGGCCACACCAGGGTCAAGCGAATGCCATTCTCAGCTTTTCGTGGTAGCGACTGTGTTTCTCTCAGCAATGTCCAAGGTACAGGAAAAGGGGCACTTTCCTCTAGTGCTGTTCAAAGAGGAAGAGGGAAGTTTTCCACCCTGCTGTGGCTCTCTTTGGCCACTGCGTTCTCTCCATGGAAACCCGGTGTCAAGCCTGGGATTCACATATGTTGTGGTGATGTGTCATGTCAAGGCACTATGCTGTGTGCCTAACTCTAAAGTGAGGCAGAAACATGACTTTGATGCCTTCAGGTTGAAACTAACAAAGTGTATGTAATTTGCATCAGTTCTGTAACTTCAGTTAGTTAAAAAAAAATCACTGGTCATCATCTACTGTATGTAGAGTAGTAGAGAAATAAATTAAAAATCCATTCTTTAGTGGAAAAATCAATTCTCTGTTGGATCACATCTATGAGATTTGTATGGAACTTGAGTCCATAAGGACTACCCTCAATTTCTGTTTTTTCTTGACTTCTGGCAAATTAATCTTCCTAAAGTTATACTGTTTCCAGTAATTTGGAACAAAAGGTTAAATATGGTAAATATTAGCTATCCTGTTGAAAGACTCACCTCTTTAGAAATTATGATTCTTATAATCAATATCATTTTGAGAAGATCTTGTGTGATGGTCTCTGTATACTGACACTAAAGTTGTGATTGTCGTTGAAAATTGTCCACGTCACTGACAGAAAAATAATCAAGGAAATCCTTCCTAGGCAGATATTGCCAAAGTGGATCATTTATAACTTGAAACTTAGTGGCTCAGAAGCCGACACTCTTCTGAAATTGAGAAAAAGTAACCTCATAAAGAAATAAAAACATAATACTTTGGTGTTTTACCAAACGTCTCTTGTCTGGTATATTTTTATAAGAGCAATTTATTTATATATTCAGTAGGAATTTGGGACTGAGGAGACCAAGAACATGAGTTTTATAATTTTACATGTAAAAACTCATGGAGAAGAGCTAGTATGTGCCATGAAGTTTCAGAGTTTCAGAAAGGGACCATTCTCACCTACATCGGCCGTAGCTGACCTTAATAATGTCAGTTGTAATGGCACAACCTCGCAGTGCCATGGAGTTGGGCTTCCTTTGTACTACTGCTCTCCCAGCTGCCATGACTCAGAATCTGGCTGATTGAACTCCCAGGCCTGGCCACTGTGGCCTATGCTGTGGCCCTAGCCACTGTGGCCTGCAAAAGCCACCCTCATAACAATGGTGTTTCATAATGCACATGTTTTGTTCAATCACCATCACTGCTTTAGCATTTTTAATATTTAAAAGAAGGACCCCAGAGTTCATCATCACTCAAATGAAAATGCTAGTGTAAACTGTAAAGCAGTATGTGTTGTGAGGCAGGAATGAATTCAGCCTGGGAAACTCAGCAACTTAATGAGTCTTAAATAAATAAATAGATAGGGCTGAGGTGTAGTGTAGTGCAGAAGTATGAGTTCAGTCCCCACTAAGTGGCGTGATAATGGATGACAATAAAAGAATAAATGTGTGGTTTTTTTTTTTTTTTTTTTGTCTTTTATTGGTACCGAGGATCGAACTCACGACTGCCTGCTTGCAAGGCAGGCACTTATGCCGCTGAGCTAAACCCTCAGCCCCAAATGTGTGTTGTTAACTTGGTATATAAAGAGCATGGTGTTTGAAACCATGGTGAGTAGGAAATAAAAATCAGCTTCTGCTTCAAGAAAATTTATCATTCTCCATTTAGGGATTAACAGTCTAGATCTGTGTCTCTGATAAGTTCCTGCTGGCTTTTGAATCTCAGTCTAGTAGAATTGTGAAGCGGTAATATATCCCTTGAGTGGGTTGTGTCTCTCATCAATTTCTCTTAATTTTTTCCTTCATAGTGTTAGAAAAGTCCTCAACCTCATTCTAGTACCTCAGAGCCATCTTGAGAGAGTTCTTTCAACTAAATCCCAAACTAGGCATCACCCCTTTAGCCAAGCTTTGTAGAACCAAAGCAGATATTGGACAAGGTTAAAATTTGTATGTAATTAATTAGTTATTCAGACCAGAAAAACTCAGTTTCTTGAAGGTACATTTTTTGATGTAAATATTCAGCAAATACTTTTGAGGACTGAGAGGAAATAGCCTCCAGTGCCTCACCTGAAGAGAATCTCAGCTTTCTGAAGACTGCGTCGCCCCTCTCCTTGTAGGTCTACTTCTGGGAAGCTATGAATGTCCTCCTGTTTCCTGTTTGTTTCTAATGTGCCTGCTCCTTTTGCTGGAGACCACAGCTGATGTGGTTTCATCTCCTCTGTCTAGCACTGACTTTCCTAGACGGCCCTGAGTGTTTCCTCTGGGGTATTATCCAGTCTTAGGTAGTAGGACTTCAGACTTTCAGCACCAGGGCTAGGCAGCAGGCCTGTTAGCAGGGCTGGCAGCATGACCTTGGTGGGCTTCTGTCCCTGAGTCTAGTGCCATTGCTTGTAAACAGAGGTCATAAAATGCAGGTCATAGGGTTACTGTCAAGATTAAATAAAAACATATCTGTACACCTCTCAAACAATAAGCATTGCGCTTCTTCTTCCTTCAAAAAATATGCCCTTAGGGGCTGGGGATTTAGCTCAGTGGCATAAGCGCCTGAAGAGGAGCTGGGGATGAGGCAGGAGGTAGAATGTATGTGGCCCGGGGTTTGATTCCCCAGTACTGGGGGGGAACACAAAGAAGAGAAACACCCGAGTAGACCAAGACATCAGAGCCATGGTAGTTAAGACCAGAGCTTTCCTGGAGGCAGATCTGGCTCTTCCCTTGCCTGGCTGTGGGACCTTGGACCGGCTTCCTCTTCTGCCAGTAAGGTGCCAGTCCTACAGGGTCACTGCATGGATGGCCCAGGCAGTGTGTGGGATGATTGGAGCAGCACATGGAGCATGCTTAGGACGTGATGTCCACAGTTACTAGAGCTGTGTGTGTGAGTGCGTCTAGACTCTTCACCGTTCTCTCAAAAACAGTACTACTTTGGCATAATAGGAAGAGGGTTCATGCTTCATAAACCATCCAGATTTCTTTCTGGCTCTAATTTCAACTTGATTTAGCTAGGCCCAGGTATTCTTTTCCTCTTTAAAGAAACCTTCATGGTTATTTTTTCGGAAAACTTCTAGAGATAGAGATGGTTGCACAACAGTGTAGATGTGCTTGGTGCTACTGACTTGTATACTAAAAAATAGTTTAAATGGTAATTTCTGTGATACGTATATTTTACTATAAAAAGACAGGGGAAAAACAAAACTGAAATCATGTCTTCCTAACTCCTAGTCAAAGATTCCAAGCTTTCTCATCCCCATTTTTTCTCTGTTTCTCATTAAGAAATATCTTTCTACCCTTAGAGCCCCACATTTCTGTGCCGATTGTTTCCTGCTGTGAGTCTTTCCTGTAGTGCAGGAACATTAGCCACTGAGGACATACCAGGGCACTGTGAACTTTCTGCCCACAAGGATCTGTCCCCTGTTTAGCTTCCCATGTAGTAAGATGACAATCAGTTGCGGTGTTAAATAATGCAAAATAGTTATCATTCTATTGACTTTAGAAGAATATGTGTGCTTATGAGAGGAGAAGCTAACATGTTAAACAATCAGAAACCACATTCAGTTCCATTCAGTACCTGCTTGTCAGGGGTCTAAATTCTGGGAATGTAGGTGTGAAAAGTTCTCTAGTTGCTCACAGATTAGAAGAAATGAGAGCAGATAAATAATATATTGCCAAAAAAGAATGATCTTTCAAAACTATCTCTGGAGACAAGAACAGGGATGATAGCATCAGGACAAGATGAAAGAAGTGACGTTGTAGCTGAGTTTTAAGGGAGAATTAGGATCACTGGAGTGGACAGGGTGAGAAATATTTGTAGGTAGACAAAATTTTGGGGCCAGGCCTCAGAAACAGGAAGTAACATGTGTTCCAAGAACCTCTGTTATATGTCCACACCATGGAGAATTAAGTGCTGGGTGGGGAAGAGGGAAATATGAGTGTAGCACAGGTGAGCGCTGATGGATCCGGAGGTGTTTGGAGGGAGGTGTATACATACTTTGTAGCTGATCCCACGGGTCTGGAACCCCAGTGGAGGGTTGGAGATGATCACCAAGAACTGCAGAGTAGATGTTAATTAGGGGAGAGGAGAAGAGTAAAGAGAGTGGGGAATGGAGTAGGACATGACATGGACCTGAGAGGAGGATTTGGAGGAAGCCAGGAAGGAATGACTTCAGACTGTATAAACATGTAGGGCTGCAACACGTCTGCAGGTTTTACTTCCAGTGAAATAAGTTGGTGGATGTATATGATTCACCATGAAAACTGGTGCCTACAGTAACTTACATAGTGCTGGCAAGTTGGAAACGGATGGTTCTCTGCCAGATGACCTAGGTGTAGGGCTTGGGGATGGATTCATGTTAGGACTTAGTCCATCCTCTGCAAGGGCTCCAAACAAGCCTTTATGTTGTTGTACCATGACAGATCAAGTAATACTGTTTTCTCTGCCAATATAGTTCTGAGACCTTTTCCAAAACTTTGAGACCATCTGTGTTCAGGCATTCTGGGGCTTTGGTGATGTTTAGAGTACCTAATGTCAAATAGTTTGAATTATTGAGTGATATCTAACATAACCCTAAAAACAGCAGGAATTGTATAAGATATCAACTATCTTTGCTTTTAATT